CTCATTTAACTTCATAACCACTTTACACCAGCCATAGAAAGTGATGTCACCATAAATAGCACCAATAACTTTGACGTTACATTTGAAAAGACAGCAATAAACTGTTTCCAGGCTTACACAAGTGGTGCCGTCTCCACCAGCAGTCAGGAAGCTTTTCTGTAGTGATTGCTAAACCAGAGGGATTTGAGGAAGCGCCAGGGCACAGTCAGACCGCATGCTCTCGTGGCAGTCGGTTATACAGCCCCAGCACTCGTGGGTATGGGGGGGGACATGCTCCAGGCAAGATATGAGGCCACTCTTTGCAGTGTTCACATCTTCAGATTGAACCCAGCCAGGGCTACAGGTCCTGCCTGATATGAGGATGAGGACAGCACTGTTTTCTCAGAGGAAGTTTTAATTTTGAGCACTATCATTGTTAAGTCTTGCGTTGGAGAGGGAGGAGGTAGAAAGGGAGACGTGTATTTGTCGGCAGGAACTGGGTACTGAGACAGCAACAGGGCCGTGGATGTGGAGGGCAGCTGGAGGTGTTGGCGTGACCCCCCAGAGTGCTTCAGGAGTGGAAGTGACAGACAGCGGACACACACCTGCCTGTCCGTGTGCTGCGGACACGGTCTCTGCGTGGCTCCGGGGCTCTTGGGATTCCGCCCCTCGCTTTAGGGGCTGCTTTGCCAACAGCTGCGTGCGCTGCTCCCCGCAGCCTGGCAGGGGCAGGCTGTGTGTCCGTGTGTCCGTGTCCGTGTGTCCGCAGGTGCATCTGCCTGTGGCCATCTAGCGGACACTCAGCTCGTGCTGCTCGGGGCTGGCACCGGCTGGGGCTCCATAAACATCGCTCCTTGAAATGCCCTGTTGGAGTGCTGTATCAAAGGCAGGATTTGTTGAAGCAAAATCGCACAATTAACAAGCCTGGAATTTTCCTTTAATAGATAAGGAATGCTTGGGCAGGGAAAATACATATTTTTTATATTAATAAGAAAAAAATTCCCATACAAATTTTCCTGTCTTTTTACCCTAGCTTGGAAAGTAGCTGCCAAGAAAATAAGTGTTACCCATGGAAAATTTTAGGTTGAAAAAACCCAGAAACAATACATAGGAATACCACAGATGTTTTAAAATATCCTTTCACTAATTCAGATTTCTGAATTATGGCTAACCTCAGGGAGATTTCTCTCTTCAGCAGACAATGTTTCAGACACTGATTTGGTAAACAAACTAATATGATGAATGTGGATAACAAGGATGTGTCAAGTCTTATGTCCCCTTGCAAAATGAGAGATTTCTCCTCCTACAATTTGCTCTTCTACATCATCAATAATCTGAAGAAGTATCAGTTGTCATTTGTGATTCAGAGGAGAAAATTGTTGAGATTATCCTTGCCAGTCTTGACTCCAAAATTCCCACTCCAAAACCCTTGCAACCCTATAGTTAAGTACAGAGTGCCTGAACTTTTATTGCTTTGGGCAGTGGGCACTGGAGGTGAGTATTAGATGATGGTTAAAGTTAGAAATATTCCCACTTTTTGCAATACTGAAAGACAAACCTGTCCACTTTTCTCTGTTGTCTGTTTTTGGAGAATAGGCTTCCTGGAGCAAGCTTACCAGATTTCACAAAGGGTGTTTGTGTTAAAATAGAGGTGTGAAACTTTTTGGGGTGTAACACATTGGTCCAAAATACACCTCTGCACATCACATCATGACAACTTTGCACAAACATGCTTCAGTCTAAAATTAATCAGAAGGTTTCACCACTGCCCAGGAGATGTGGAAGCAGAAGCAGAGTCTTCACACCATACCCTGGGCTGTGCAACAGAGAACCAGATGGAAACAAGTGAGAAGAAGGTGCAGCATACAGAGCAATGTCAGTAAAGCATTTCACAAAGCTGAGCCAGTCCCTGGGTGGGAAGGGGAAAGAGGAAATGTGGACAAACTTAGACATTGTTTGAAGCAGACCAAATCTTACAGAGTCAGAGGAAGCTGTAGAGCAGATATCTCCAAGCAAGGACAATAAACAGCCAAAGAATACCAAAACCACAAGAGATGTGGAAAAGTGAGGTGCCAATAATAAATAACTGCATATTTGGATGTTGTGACTGATGTACCAACACAGCTGAAAATAGCTCTGAGTTACTAAAATCACCATGCAATTCAGCTCAGAATCAAGGCATGTGAAAATTTTGGTAACACGTCGATACATTTGAAGAAATCACTGATAGCTTGTCGTAAATGAAAGCCCCACTGATGGAGCCATCTGAATGAGGACAAAATCATAAAAACAGGGCACAGGGGACAATCCTGCTGATTTGAAATGGCATGAGGGCTGCCAGTGCCATGCTGCAGCTCGTCACTCAATGCTCCTCACAATGAACTTGTGACAGAGATGCTTGACTGGGATCTGATCCCAGCAATACACAGTACTGAGCACCATTGGATTCACTTCATTTCATGCTTCAGATGAAGATATCATTCCTAGTATTAAAGCAAGAAGGTCAATCTTCCTGATTTCTGTTCTGCTAAACATTCTGGGATTTCAAACTTTCATTTTTCCTAATCAAAAGCAAGAGGAAATTCCCATCAAATGACAAAAATTGGTTTTGGAAATCTCAGAATGGTCTTACTGAGATGTTGATGCAATTTTGATTTTCTCATTTGGCTTTAAAGCATAGATTTTGCATGTCTTAGGCAGCTGAGATTAAAATACAGCATTCCGAAGAAAGCTATAGATAATTTTGATTACACTTCCACTGGCTGGCCACAGTTTTTCCTGTGTGATTGAATCAGCATTTTTTGATTGAAGATTTTCTACCAGCTCTAGTCAAAATTGGGCTGCCAGCTGGCAAAGCTTCTGCTGCCTCCAGTATTTGCGTAACACTGCCATGGAAAAGGGGATGCTCCAGGGTAGCAGGCTGAGTGGCACTGGGCAGTGCTGGGGCAGGCTGAGACGCAGCCAGGGAGAAAGAGGAGCACGAGGCAGGCAGGAGTATGATAGAGGCATCAGGGTGGGAGGGAAGAGAAAGGGCAAGTGGTAAAAGCATCAGTAAAGAGGCACCTGCAGCTCTGCACCCTGTGCTCTGGGAATGGGAGGATTGCATGACCTGGAGTGAGACCCTCTGCCAGCATCCTGCTGACTGCACAGCCAAGCAAACCCATATTTCACACAGGCATGGAGGAGAGGGTGAAGACAGGAAGCTCTGCATTCCTGAGGGTCTTTGCTTATGCCCTGGAGGATTTGCAACCCTTGCAGTCCAGGGGTTACAGATCGGCAGTATGAAAGTGTAAATCACGCTGGTTTTCATGCAGAGGAGGTGACATGTGGTGAAGCAGCCTCCTTCCTTTGCCTGGTAAAATCCTCTCTGACATGCACAGAGTGTCTTCTGCTGGGAGAAGCTGGGATCACAGTCAGTGGGACCATCACCCCACCCATTCCACAGAGCTGTCTGGGGCAGCAGGCTGGCTGGGCTCCTGAGAATGACCAACGATGGCTGTCATCAGTGTTAGCAAGCCACCCATCTGCCTACCCTACAGCTCTGTCCCTACCATAAGGTTTCAGTGCTCTGCACAGGTAGAAGAGATGATATTGCCTTGCCACCTGGGACCAGGACATCACTCAGTGGCATCAGTCTTATGGTCCCCGTGGCAGAGCTGGGGTACTGGCACAGACCCCCAGTGCTCCCCACTGCAGCTTGAGCTCCCCCACAGCAACGAGTGGTGGGGACAAGAGAGGGTTAAGCTGTCAGCTCTGTAATGTTAAACAGGTGTCAAAGGCACCTCCATATATCTGCAGATTGAAATCAAATTCTTTGCAGTATAAAAAGATAAATTACCCAGGCGATTCCCGCCTCATCCCACTCATCAGGCCAGCGCCAGACGGCAAGCAATTTTTTTTTTTAATGTGCTAACGACCTAATCAAGCAATCAAGTCGGAGAAGATTGCGGAGTGACCCCGAGCATCCATCTGCCAGCGAGACCCCGACATTCATTTCCATTCTGCCGTGTACTTTCCGGGAAAGGGAGGGAAAAATAGAAAAGAAAAAAAAAATCCTAAACAAATTAACACCCAATTTTCTGTGAGTCTAATTAGTTAAATGAGGAGGTGTTTGGGGTGTCCACGGGGAGGGAGGGACTGCCTCTCAGAGAGGGGCCTGGTAACTCCATGGCATTAATTAGCGCAGGTCAATGGCGAGGTTCCCTGGGGACCAGCTGCTTTAATTTCCCGTGATATTTCAGTGCCTGAGGCCCATCGATTCAAACTGAAATTAACTTATTTTTCAATCAGGCCTGGGCTGCCCCTGGGGCTGACTCTTCCTTTGCCTCCTTCTGAATAGACCTCAAGCAATTTTTCATCTAAAGCTGATGCCTCTGCTCGGGGGGAGAAGGGAGGGGAGCCGGGGAGGGGGAGGAGGGTGAGGGAGACAAGAGGAATGGAAATCGGAGAGAGAGCACTAATAGATTTCTGCGAGTATCACCCCCTCCCTGCCATTGCTGCCTGCCTCCCTGCTCACTGCCCCCCAGGTCACAGCTCAGAGATTATTCTGCCAATTTTCTGAGAAGATGAGGGGTTTTTCAAACTGGGAATTCAGGGCAAAGCGCACAGAGCAGCTTCCCCCTTCTTTTGAGCATCCGCCCCCATCCCAGCCCTCCCTGCAGGCACTGCTGCCTGCAGCCCTGTACTGCTGCTCAAACACACAGCAAATAATAAAAGAAAATCCCAGGCACGAGAGCCAAAAGCCAGTAGAAAAAAGATGTTGCAATGGCAAATTAATTACATCCTGTGGAGAGGGATGGGACCTGCTTTCACACTTGGCCCTCTCCACTGCTTCAAGGGAGGGAGGGGGAGATACCCAATGTCTGTTGCATGGGGGAAGAGGTTGTATTGCCTTTGGGATAAACATCCACCCTTCTGCTTTCATCATGCTGCAGAAGTACATGCATGTTCCCACGTGGGAAGGGGCCTGGCATGCCTTCTCCATGCACAAAAACCATGTCCCTCCTTGTTGCTCGCTCCAGGTTTGGTTCCAGAACCGCCGGGCCAAATGGCGGAAGAGGGAGAAGTGCTGGGGCAGGAGCAGTGTGATGGCTGAGTACGGGCTCTACGGTGCCATGGTGCGTCACTCCATCCCGCTGCCTGAATCCATCCTCAAGTCTGCCAAGGATGGCATCATGGAGTCCTGTGCCCCTTGGCTCCTGGGTAAGAGAGCAGCCAGCTTCATGGGGGATGGCAAAGGGGTAGAGACAGGGGGATGCAGGGAAGAAATCAGAGTCATGTTGAAAATAGGTGAGGGGCAGCAGGGCAAGGTCCCCCCATCCTGCCACCCTCGATGCCTCCATCTGCCAACAACCCTTGTCAATAGGGTTTGACCACTCATCCCAAATTCCTGCTGGACCTTGGATCATGACCTGCAGAATCTGGCTGGGATACAAATTTGCGCACATGCTCAGGCTGGTGCTAACCTTCCCTTCCCATGGCTCAAGCATATTTCATGCCCAGCTCTGGAGCAGGGGCTCCAATCCTTGTCCATGGCAGGAAGTCATCCCAGTCTCACTCCTCCAGCCCTGTGATGCTGGATGGGGTGCTAGGATTCCCAAATGCTCTGTCTTTGCCCAAGTTTCACTCAGTTTTCTGTGCAGACGTGGAGGTAGCAGCTACCCTGTCACACTCCTGCTCTTTGCTTTACTCTTTCTGATCTTCCAGGCTGGTTCTGCCCCAAAACTAGTATCTGGCATCTTGACAATGGGCTGTCCTGTCCTTCTGTCTGTGTGAAATGGAGAGAGACAGAAGGGTGGTTGTGGTTTGACACAGAAATAGAAATATCCCTCCCAATGAGAGATCTCCCTCCTCAGTCTCAGTGAAGCTCAGGCAGCTATGCTGCTGTCTGAGACCCTCATCTCCATACAGGAACAAGTTAGCTTCAGACTCACAGAGAGAAATGAAGGGGAGAGTAATTATAGACCTTTGGGACCAGCCACAGTCCACAGGTGCTGGGCTGCCCTTGTGCGGGGGCCAGAGCAAGTGGCTCGCCATGACTGCTGTGTGAAGCAAGGGTTTCTGCTTTTCCTTAATTCTGGCCTCTTTTTATCTTTGCTGTTTTCAGTTCAAGATGGCTTTCCCATGCCCAGGCGCTTTTCTAAACCCGAATACCAACAATTCTTTTTAGGGATGCACAAAAAGTCTCTGGAGGCAGCGGCTGAGGCGGGGAGGAAGACAGAGGTGGAGTGCCAGGCCCTGCCCAAGCTTGACAAAGGTGACAAAGAAGAAAGGGGTCCTGATCCCAAAACCACCATTTCCCAGGAAGAACTGAGAGAAAACAGCATTGCTGCCCTCAGGGCCAAAGCTCAGGAGCACAGCACCAAAGTCCTGGGGACCATTGCCGGGGACACCCCAGCCCCAGGCAGGAAGCCGGAGACAGGGGAGGAGGCGGCAGTGGCAGAGGATGAGAGACAGACGGAGAAGTTGAACTCATCGCAGAAGGAGGAGAAGTTGATCTAGGGGGAACAGAGGTGGCAGAAGCCAGCCCCGACAGACACTGTGTCCTCTGGGGGCCATGTTCCCCCTTGGACTGCCAGGTGTCCCTGGCCACCCCTGCCAGGGAGAGGGGCCCTGGTCTCTGTGTTTGGGGCTGCCTGGCAGGGGTGCCTACTGCCTGCTCCCCTTGAGCATACCCCAGCCCCTCACTCCTCCACCCCACCAGGCCTTCCTCATCCCCCACCCCTTCATTTTGGGGGACCGGGAAATGTCACATCATCACTGCCACCAATGACACTAAGGCTCTGGTCCCCTCAGCCTCACGACTGGCTCTGGAGCTTTCTCCTTCTGCTGCAGCCCCAAACCCCATTTGCCATCCTGAAGCAAGCCTATTCCCTGCTGCCATGCCTCTCTCCTTGGTACACATCTCTGCCCAGTGCTGCCCAGGCCCTTTCCCCTTGTGCCCTGTCCCACTGTGCCCCAGGCAGACACGCCACCTTCTGCTGGCCATCACCTCTGCCTGTGGCCCAGGCTGCAGCAGGACAAGCCCATGGCAGTGCTTGCATGAAACGATGACCATCCATCTAGGGTGGTTTGCACCTTCCACCCATCTCTCCCTGCTCCCATCTCCGCTGGGAAAGGACTGCAGCTTAAGAGCAGTTATGTTTTCCCTCTCTTTGGCAGGGAGAGGCAAGTTTAGCCCACAGGCATGACACCCTGGTCCCATCTGGCACCCTGAGCTGACCCCAGCCCATTTCACTGGCTCCTGCAGGGCTGGGTCTGACTCTGCCCTAAACACCAAAATCCTACACCCCTGCTGAGGGGATGAATGGTGAATTTATTTATTGAATACATTATTCCAGGTGAGACAACAACATCCACCTAAATGTATTTATTGAATTAAATTTGTCCAGCACACCCTCTGAGTGTTAAAGGGAATGACAGCCATGCACACCCACCCTGATACACCCTGTAACGTGTACATACATCCCATAGGAGCACATGCAGACCCACACAGCCAAGCTCACTCCATGGTACCATCACCTTCCCATCCCAGTAAAGCACTGTTCCCCCTCTGAAAGCCATAGGACAGTGACTTCCAGGTGACCCTTTCTGTCCTGCTTTCAGCTGTGAGCACCCTTTCCCCAGAGCTACTGTTTTTCTTCCATCAAAGGTTAAGCCCAGTCATCCAACCCGTTCGTCTTTGTTTCCCGATCGTTTGACGTGTTAGATGATAGCCCATGGAGTGTAAATAATGTATATACAGTGAGAAAATAATTCAGTATTGAGGTGTTTGAGATATGGAGCTGTAACAACTTCTAGTCATCCAGCATCTGTGATTTATGTGCCATTTTCTGTAAAGATATGAAGAAGAATAAAACTAAACAGGAATCCTGTGTATGAGTCCAGTTACCAATGTTCAAGGAGGGCGAGTTCAGCCAAAGCTGAGAGGGAGCTGGATGTCATGTTGTAGCCAGAGAGAGGTAAGAGATCCAAAGCAGCCCAGAGGTCTGCACTTTCCTCCCCACCGAGGCACGGAAGAGATGGCGCTTGGGTCTCTCTCTGCAGTGAAATACAAAACTGAAAGGGATGTGCTTGTACTTGGAGCAGAAGTCACGGCATACAACTGGTGAAAGAACAAGTCACCTCAGCATCCAGAACAGCCCTGGTGCTTTGGGTCATGCCATATCACACGTGCCCTGGTGTAAAGAGAGTCAGACAGACCTCCAGGCAGGCTCAGCCTCTGCCAGGAACAGGCTGCAGGGCCCCGCTGGCCTGAGGAGCTGGGGCAGCAGCCACACACTACAGGTGCAGGGGAGCTGGCTGAGAGGGAAGGGCACCCACGGGACTTACAGCTAGGTGAGCTCCAATTCGAGAGCAATGGAAGCCTATTCTGGGTCACCAGTGTAGTGGGTTTAGTGCTGGCCAAACACCAATGTATCCACTAGAATTTACTCATTTCCTGCTGCAAGATGGATTAGGAGGAGGGCAAAACAGGCTCAAAACTTTAAAGGGTATAAAGAAAACTTTACTGACAGAATTAAAAGAAAAATATAAAAAGAAAATCAGAATAAACCTTCAGGACACTTCTCCTCCCCCCATACCCTCTTTTCTCTCCCACTGAAAACATAAAGAGACAAAACCTGGGACTTTAAGTCAGTTTGCAACCTCTAAAACAGTCTTTCTTCAGTTCTCTTAGGGAGAGGAGTCTCTCTTGCCATGCCATGGAGACTTCTCCACAAGAAACAGTTCTCTTGTGGTTTTTAATTTTCACATATAGCAGCCGTCCAGAAATTCGCAATTGTGAAGTCCCTCCCATCTCTTGCAGCCTTCCCACAGCTGCATTCATGGGCCATGTCAACTTATGGGGTATTATTTTAAGGATGAGCTGTTCCAGTATAAAAGCAAAAGTTCTTTTCATCCATCTCTGGGAACAGAGGTTTTCTTCTTTCTATTCCTGGGCAAGGTTCCTGTCTCTCATCTCTCTCTGTTCAAGCTTCTCATTGGATCACAGCAGCTGCAACATCTGCTTGTTTCAAAATGGATGCTTCTGCTCACGGCTGTGGTTAGAACGCTACATGCCATCCAATGCATTCCATGACTCACGGGGAAAAAAAAAAGTCTGATATATCAAATATATCTTCACCATAGCCTTACAAAAGAATTTCAGCCCAAAACTAAGGCGTCTCCTCAATCCCGTCCTGTCCAGAATTTGACTCCTTTTTTACTGACCTCAGTGTCCCATGTTTTTTTCTCTACGTGTCTTCACCCTTACCTTTTCCTGATTCGGGAGAGAACCAGTGTTTGTAGGCCCATTTGTTCTCAAGCTTAATCAACTGAAACAGTTTTTATAGAGCTCTGCAGTGCTGAAAGGTTGATCTCATCCAGGCTCTGCATCAGAGAGATCGCTCGCCGTGCCTCTCGCTGCTGGCCACGTGGTCTCCGCCGACACCGTGCGAGCTGTGCCGGCCGCTGGCTCTACTCAGTGCTTTTCTTCATGTGGAGCACTGAAAACAGGAAAAGCTGCTGCAGCCATTTTTGTCCTTCTGTCCACAGCATGGCTTGCCAAAAAACAGCTTAAACAAAGTTCATTGTGAGCCATGCCAAGGCAGCCACAGCCGTGTGCCGCTGTCCCGGTTGTGCCGATTTTGGCCGTGCAGCCCTGGCCATGTGGCCGCTCCTGGTCCGGGATGACGGAGGCCACTCCCGGCCCCAGTTGCTCCTGGCCTTGGGGCTGCCTCCAGTGTCAACTACGGGGCCACTCCCAGCTCTGCTCGCGGTCTCACGGTTGTACCTAGCATTGGGATGGCCAACAGTGGCATGGCCCAGTGGCACCGCTGGCAAAAAAGGACCAGCAGGCTCTGCCGGGAAGGGGCTCCAGCCGCCCTGCCAGCATGGGGTCTGGTGGGCTTCCCGGGAAGGGGCCAGCGTCAAGCAGAGCCCAGCACGGCCCAGCCCAGCCACACACCTGCCCAAAGGCCGAAAGCCAAGAGAGCTTCTGGGCTTTGCTCGTTTTTAAACCTGCTTTTCCACAGAGGCGTGTGCAACTCTTCTTGAGTGGTTTAACTGGATGTCAATCTTCAAAACTAGCCAGCTGATTGGCTCTTCAAACTAGGCAGCTGATTGGCTCTGCAGGCCCCACAGGGAACCGCCCCTGCGGCAGTGGGCTCCTCCCCAAGGGAAACGCAGACTTTGTTAAAGCAGGACACCAGGTAAGGAGTCACCCGCCCTGCTGAGAGAGTCTGGGAATGGTCTGCAGCAAAAACCTAACGTCTTCCAGGGACAGGAAAAATGGTGAGGTGCATAGGAAATAAGAGACCTGTGGAACAATGAGGCTGCTTGGCCTGACTTTGTGTAGAGGCTGTAGGCCAAAGGTCTGTGTTTCCCCAGAGGGACAGGGTAGAGACACTGAGACACTGTAGGCCCAAAGGTCTGTGTTTCCCCAGAGGGACAAGGTCCTTGTACGTTCCCACCAAGATCGGGATGCCTTTGACACAAAACAGGTGTGTGGTCTGGGATGAGTGCACCTGATGGGAAATAGTGTCTGTCTCCCACACTGGTGTCCAGCCTGTCCACCATAGATTCTGAGGGTTGTTGTGCTTTGAAGAGCAAAGAGGAGATCTACTAATCCTGTCATCTCTACTGTTGATTCCTTAGGTGTCCCTGGCTGAGAACAACCCTACTTGCAGGGAGAGCCTTTCTCTGCTCTTCTCTTGTGCCTCCTAGGAAAAAAAGGGAATTTGGTCAATGACATTAAGGAATCCTGCAAATTTTACCTTAAAAAAACCTACCTATATAGGCCCTGAAGGAAAGGAAGGCAGAAAAAACCCTCTGTTTGGAGGCAGGGAGGTAGCTGAGCTCTGCTATGGTGGGTGGTGGGAGGTCTCAGCATGAGGAGATGGGCAGCAATGCTTCATGCCAAACCATCCCCAGCTGCTCCACCATGGCCTCATTGAATGCTCCCAGCCCAGCTGGTGGGTGGCACAGCCATTCTCTAGTGCTTGGGAGGAGGCAGAGAGCCCAGTCCCACCTGCCAGAGGGACAGCTCTGACAGCCAGCCAGCAAGGTGGGTGGGATGGGATGCAATATTCCCCTCCTGCAGCTGACAGCTATGTGAGAAAAACCTTCCCTGGCCCACCACAGCCTAGTGCTCTGCCAGAAATGGGCATTAATTCTGGCCATCACTCATGACTAGCATGGGGGTGGCCCTAAGATTTACAGGGACCTGCCCCAAGGTGCCTTTGTGGCCAGCAGAGGATGGGGGGATGCAGTGGGGGTGCTGCGGCAAGGGAGGGGATGGTGATGAATAGATGGAGCTGTGAGGGAGGCGAGTGGGGATGAAATAGATGGCTCTGGGGATGCAGTGCAGCCCTAGGAAAGAAGGAGCAGGCTCTTGGAGCATGGCCCAGGCACCTTGGTCCCTGAGGAGAGCCCAGGCACACGTTTAACCTGGCTCCTGTTCAAGAACTGCTGTCAGGACTCAGATTAGCATGAAGGTTATTTTCAGACAAATATTTCTACAGCCCACCTCTTTTCCCTCCCTTACAGTGATTGGATTTCTTTTTTCCCATAGTGCTCTGGAAGAGAGGAGGAGAGGAACAAGGCAGGGCAGAAGCAGTGCCTGGGCTCCCTGTGTGAGAGATCTGTTTTGTGTCCAGTCAGCCCAGGGCCACGTAGCCCCACCTTCCACAGAGGCCTGAGTCTTGCCTGGACCAGGTGTCCTGAGCACCTGAGGGCTGCAGGTATCCATCTCAGTGAGAGGCAGATACCCTGCAGTGATGGCCAGGCTGCTGGCCAGGACCTGCTGCTTCAAAGCTCTTTCTCAGGCTCCCAGATACCCTTCTGGGCTGGTGGCTGCCAGACCCTGGAGCCACGGGCCTCTCACTGCCTACATGCCTGAAGCCATCGCCTTCCCCAGACCCAAGGACCACCAAGATTTGTACAAGGTGTCAGTGGAGCAGAGTGACATCTTCTGGAGAGCACTAGGAAGGAGCCGGCTCACCTGGATCACCCCCTTCCACTCTGTCCAGGACTGCGACTTGTGCCAGGGCAGAGTCTCCTGGTTCCTGGGGGGGCAGCTGAATGTGACAGGTAAGGAAGGAGATGGGCCTGGGATTGTACCAAGTGCTTGCAGGTGCTTCTGTGTGCATGACTTCAGCCCTGGGAATGGATCAGAAGAGCACAGAGTTAAAGGTCTGGAGAGAGGGGCATCCCCAAAAGGTCCAGTTGTCCTGCAGTGGCTGTAGTGTAAGGTTGTGGCTGACCCTAAGGAAGCAGCTGGGTTTCATCGGAGAGGTTGCAGCTGCAATGGTGTGTGCTGGGAGCTGCTCTCCCTCAGCCCCCATGGATCCCACTGCAGTGCAGTAGCTCTGTCCTGCAGGACATAGGCTCTAACACTGAAACCCTGTGCATTCAGCAGGCAGGGCTGCTCTAGGGCATTCCTGCTCAGAGGAGGCAAGATGTATCTGTAGAAAGCAAAATACAGGAGAAATGAGCCATACTGTCACCACTGTAGTGGGAGGCTCTTCTGTGGACTGGGGCTATTGCCTTAGGTGGGCTATCAGAGGAGGACACGGGGTGGTCCTTGGACACTGTGTGGACACAGGTCCACACCATGTCCTGTTCACAGTGCTGTTGGTCCCTGTGTTCAAAATACAAGACAGACCTCTGAGAAAATCAGATCTTATGTAATCTATTTGGGGAAAGTTATTTGCCTTTGGGATTTGACATCTTACTTTTTCTCCCTTTATATGCATTTCTTTCTCTCCTGGAAAACTACAAATGGTCAGGAGAAAAAATTTGGTATGCAAACTGGGGCTGCTGCATCATCCCACAACTTTAGCAAGTTTAAGGAAAACAGAGAGTGGAACAAGGCTTCTGAGGAAACTGCAGCAGCCAACAATGTGGGAAAGTACATGGAAGAACTGCAGCCAAAGCCTCAGCTTACAATGTCCCTGGAAAGCCAGAAGCTGTGCACTCTGTATTTACCCTGGCTCTTTTCCATCTTGGACAAATGCACTCTGCAGCCTTCCAGTGCAGAGCTTCACTTTGTCCTTCATTTGTTTTTTAGGAGCACCACCACTAAAAACTGCCCTAGTTCACCCCAGAGGCAGCTGCAAGGCAGTGCTGGGTGGAGTGACGGCTTAGTTAATGTTTGTCAGCACTCTGAGGGCACTGGGGATGTGACCTCCAAAGGGACTTCAGGTGTTTTCTGCTCTGGACTGCATGAGGTCACAGTTAAGGAGGAAGCTGATAGTGGGGATTGGCAGGTGTTGGACTGGTGAGGAGCATAACAGGCTTGGGATGGTGCTTGTGATCTCCTGGCTGGTATCCACAAAGGTTGCCCAAGGCTAATGCTAAGACTCACACACAGCCCTGACTTTGACTTGAAAATGGGACAGCCAGTGCTGGCTTTATGAGAGGTAAGAGGTACTGAGGGTTGCTCTGTCCATTTTACTGGGTTTTCCTTTCCAGTGAATTGTCTGGACCGTCACGTCCATGTAGCCCCAGACAAAGTGGCCTTAATCTGGGAGAAGGATGAACCTGGAGAGGAGGTAGGGGTGACATACAGGTCAGTAATTACCTCTCAACATATGAGAGGCATATTGTACCATGTATGAACACTGCACAGGGCTGATCTGCTGATGTCTGTCATGTGAGGGAATGCAGCATCCCTTCACACAGATCCAGAGTATGGTAGCTGTTGGTTTGCTTTTGCTGATCTGAAACTTCAGCCTACCCCCTGATTAAATCTCCTGGGCCCTGAGGAATCCCTGCCCAGCTGGGGAGGCAGATATAAGCCCCTTGGGGCAGCACTGCAATGCTTGTAGGTAAGACACACAGGAAAGTCACACATGTGCCTTCCCACCCAGGTTCCTGTTATCTAAACTTCTGGGTAAGTGCTCTACCAGGAAGGCAAATTCACAGCTGCAAATGCATTGAGAAATCCCACACTCATCCTCATGTCAGCAGTGCTGCTGGATTTGGCTCTCTGGGGTGGCTGCCTGTCCAGCCCTGCTAGGTTGGTCTGGGGTCTCCCACCTTCCAGCTTAAATTGCCTGCTCTCTGAGTCACTGCCACAGAATTCACTTAAATCCCTCTGCACACCAAACAAGTCCCTCTGTCCTCTCTGACTTCAGGCCTCACACGACAAATATGACCAGCCACTCCTCCCAATCCCCATGCATGGAGAGCCCTTCCATAAAATGACTCACTGAGAGCCAAGCTGTGGTTTCTGGGAGGGACTTCTCTGGGGGAGACATTTTTCTGCTCACTGCTTTCCTACAGCTGTTGTTTCTTGACCTCAGCTTTAGTTAAGCAAGGAACCCTGTTTTGGGGAAAGATAATCTAACTTCTCACATGTAACCTCCAGATATGCAGGGTAGTGTGTCACACTGGTTGTACAGGTTGGTAAGAAATGTGCAGAAAATCAGCTGAGGTGTTGTAGGTTTCCTGAGCCAGAGGAATTGCCAGTGGCTGTTGTACAGAAATCATTCTAATTTATGTCTTTTCCATAAATAGCGGTCTATGTTAGAGACTCTCTTGTTTCCTTCCCACTGATTTTTACAGCTCTATCATGGTCTTCTAGAGTGAGAAGGGTTAGGGTATGTAGGGATATAAGCTGTGTCCTTGTGACCCTGAGGCCCCCCATCTTTACGCATGCCGGTAAGATCTGCAAGAAAGCCTCCAACTGTGTCATTGCTTCTTTGGGCAGGGAACTGCTGGAGCTGACGTGCCGCCTGGGAAATACCTTGAAACGGCAAGGGGTGAAGCAGGGTGACAGGGTGACAATCTACATGCCCCCATGCCCACTGGCAGTGGCTAGCATGCTGGCCTGTGCCTGCATCGGGGCTGTGCACGCTGTGGTGTTTGCTGGCTTCAGTGCAGAGTCTCTCGCTGACAGGATCCAGGATGGTAAGAGGCACTGGGTAACAGTGACATATTTCCCTTGGGAAGCTCACACTTCCAAGTGCTGAGCTTGTTGGTTCAGCTGCTCAGGGGGACTCAGGGTTGTGTGGATGGCAAAGGTTTTCTGAGTGAGACTCCCTGTGCTCTCTGAGAGTAACCTGACATAATGCATAGTCATGGAGCAGGTACTAGCAACCCAATAAATGGCATGAGCTCACTAAATACATTCCAGCCCATGGGATGAACAGGTTTTCTCTTTCATCCATGGGACTGAAGGACTGGGATACAATGTCTCCTGTAAGGGGATGTAACACAGGCAGAAATGAATGGAAAACCAAGATGCAAAGCTGCTGTTTTTGTTAAGTGAAGGACATGAGTACTAAGGGCTCGGAGACAGAGAGAGAGATGAAAGGTCATGGTGGAGCCAAACTGCTCTGTGGCTGGTAGAGAGGGGCAGAGTTGCTTATGTGGCTCTTCTGTCTTCTGCAGCCCAGTCAGAGACAGTGATTACAGTGAACCAGGGGCTAAGAGGTGGCAAGGTTATTGAGCTAAAGAAGACAGTGGACCAGGCTGTGAAGCAGTGCCCTGGAGTGAAACGGGTTCTGGTTTCCATGAGGACCACCAGCAAGGTTCCCATGACAGCTCTAGATGTGCCCCTGGAGGAGGTGAGAGGCTGCCCAGTGATTTTGCCACTTCTCCTGGGCAAAGTGCTTGCTCTGGGTGCAGGGACACTGGGTGGAGAGGATCTCACCTGGCCACAGCAGTTTTGCTGGCATTGACAGAATTTGGGAACACTGTCCCATAGCAGCAGTCAGAGCTGCACACAAGCTCAGGACAGTCCCAGTATCCATCAGAATGGGCCACTGGTACGTGTTCCCACACTACCAGCCCTGTACTGTCAGGGGCATGCAGTGCAAACCAGAGTACATAGCAGGGTGGACAGGGACCTACAAACACACGAGACATGGGCTGCTAGTACACTGTCACACAGGGGTCTGCTGGCAGACCAAGCACGTTCCAATTATCCATAGCACACAGGGTGGCTAGGCTGCCAGCATGGAGCACAACTTCTGAACAGGTGAGCTGCTGCCATGCATTTCTTCTGAAAGATGTTTGTAGGGAGCAGGGTGCTCCCTACAAGTGCTCAGAGGGGAGGGAGACTTGGGAGAGAGGTGCACAAGCAGGTGTGGGGATGACACAGGGGAGGCTGTGAGACCCTGACAGAACTGCTGTGCTCTTTCCTGCAGGAGATGATGAAGGAGGATGCATGCTGTGAGCCTGCTGTCATGGACAGTGAAGACATGTTGTGTCTTCTCTACACCTCAGGCAGTACTGGCAAACCCAAGGGCTTGGTTCATTCCCAAGCTGGTTACTTGCTGTTTGCTGCTCTCACACACAAGGTAATGGATCCCCACCACAAAGTGCTCATGAGCCAGCAGTTGACAGGCAGTGCAGGGAAGACAAATGCTCCTTGTTGCATTACAAGCTCAACTTTATCCAGTGCAAAGCCTCTGGGAAGCCCTCTCAAGACCATCAGAGGTTTGCAAGAGCCAGGGCTGTCATTCCAGAATGGCAAAGCAGGGGGTCAGCAGCATGTGGCCATGTTTGCTCCCAGGAGCACTGAAAACCTGGACACAGAGCTGACACACTTAGATCCCTCAGCTGGGTGGGGCAGACTTCTGCTACCATAACTCACTGCTCCACTAAAAAGAGACAGAAGAACTAAAAGAAGCTTCCATTATGGCACCTCTGAACACTTGAGGCCCCAGAGTCCCCAGATGAAAGTCAGCCGGGAGCTGCAGGAAGAAATGAGTCAGGTCTGAAACCACAGGAATCAGAAACAGCAAGAAGTGATAGGCTAGTGGGAGAGCGGCCCCTAGGAAGCTTTCCTGGCACTGAGTAAATGAAATGAAGACGAGTGCTTTAGGAAGCTGGCTGTGTTGCTGCCAATATGACAGCACTCAGCTCTGCCCTGCACAGGGCAGTCATCATTCCTTCATGATCCAGCCTTGCAGCCAAAGGGTCTCATGAAGAATAAATGGGGCAGTGGGAAGAAGAGCTTGTTTTGCTTTCTGCCTGCAGGCACAGCACTGCACTCACCCAGCTGAGATGGAGAGATTCCAACTCTTGTGGGCAGGCTGGGGTTGCTCTGGGCCAAGGCATCACATGGTGATTGCTTGCTGCCTCACTGCTCCTGTGCTGGGCTCCTTGCTGAGCTCAGGGGGTTTTGAGTGTTTACTGTCCTTCTGAAGTCCAGCAGTGCCTACAGGAGGCTCATGGAGTCCTCCGCCACTTTGTCCTTGCCTACAACTCCTCTCCTTCCACATGGTCATGTAAGTACAGAGGCACCTTTCTTACCCAGAAGGTTCTGGGTATTTCAGGATACTGGGATCAGCCTTGTCTAGATACCAGCAAAAGGAAAGAAAGGCTGTATGTCTCACCATTGGAAAAGAGAAAATTTGTATGTGGGGTTTTTTTTAAGTGTCTGTCTCCTGCAGCTTCACAGTTTTGGGGTTTTTATAACTTCAATTTTATTTAACTAATTTTATTTTTTTTCTGATTTTTTTTTTTAAAAAACCTCTTTGCAGGAAGAAGGTGTCCCTGCAGGGGTGGTAGGAAGACAGAAGAACACAGTAGAGTTAGGGCTGACAGAGAGTACACTGCTCCCTGTTGTGCCCCTTGCCAGGAGTGCAGGCTCAGGTGGAACCCCTCACTGCCTCTCTTTTCTTGTTCAGTATGTGTTCAACTACCAGGACGGGGACATCTTTGGCTGTGTGGCAGACATCGGCTGGATCACAGGACACACCTATGTGGTCTATGGCCCCCTCTGCAATGGTGGTACCACTGTCCTTTTTGAGAGCACTCCTGTCTATCCTGACCCTGGTGAGTGAGGTGACTCAGTGGAGCTGGGACATTCCACAGCACCCTGAGATCCACAGCAGGCAGGGAGCTGGCAGCTTGATGCCAGGAGATGAGCAGCAAAGGCTCTGTTGCCTCAGCAGCAGCCCGTGGGCTGCAAGGGGAAGTCTTTTCCTCTGCTTAGGAAGCCACTGCTGCTTCTCCAGGGGTGGAGGTGTTAATCCCTCTCCCTCCCTGCAGAAGGAATGGTAGCAGAGCTAGATGATGTGAAGAAAAAGGGGCTGCTGCTCCTGAACTGCTTCCATCCTTCCCACCATATGATTAACTTGGCTGAGGGTCCCGGTGCTGCTGGAGAGCCTTTGCTCTCACCTCTTCTTTCTCTGCCTTGGTGTTGGGCTGGGAGGACCTGTGTGGATGCTTACCGGCCCTGTTTCCATTCCAGGCCGCTACTGGGAAACCGTACAGAGGTTAAGAATTAACCAGTTCTATGGGGCACCCACCTCCATCCGCCTGCTCCTGAGATACGGCGATGAATGGGTGATGAAGTATGACCGCTCTTCTCTTAAACTGCTTGGCTCAGGTAAGTGCAGCAAAATGGGCTGGGCCAGCAAATCCTTGGACATCACATTATGTCTCTTCACACAAATGCCAAGAGTAGCAGCACATGAGACCCCAGAGTCAGGAGACTGCACTATTTCTGCTCTGCCCCATTGTTTTTCCCCTTGCAGTGGGGGAACCCATCAACAAGGAGGCATGGGAATGGTACTTCCGTGTGGTCGGCGAGACATGATGCCCAGTAGTGGACACTTGGTGGCAAACTGGTGAGATGCATATGATTCCTTGTTCCAGGTTCTGCTTGCCCAGGCTTTAGGAGTGACCTGCTGCTTTACTGGCCAAGTGATAGTGGTTGTTGCTCACAGTCTTGTATGAGCAAGGCTGTAAGGGCCCTAGAGCACCCAAACATAAAAGAGAAAAATGGCCTTTAAAGCTAACCTAGATAAACATGGGGATTTCAGGGTACATCTCAACAGATCCCTGCTGAACTAAATAAGCATAATCATCCTTCTGCAAAGTTCCTTCCCCAGCACTCTGGCAAAGCCAGCCACAGCCTGTGCAGTGTGTATAAGGGACAGGGCAAAGGCTGTTGGCCAAGCAGTGCTACTTGGCATTCCTTTTGTCCCTGACTTTGACGACCATTAGTTTCTTTTCCTTCAGAAACAGGAGGCATCTGTATCTCACCCCGTCCTTCTAATCCTGGAGCTGAAATTCTTCCAGGCATGGCTATGAGACCCTTTTTTGGGATCAGCCCCTCTATCTTGGATGACAAGGTATGTTTATAACCTGCAGTCCAGGCACTGGCTCAGCCCCCGTTCCCCCAGGTGCTTGCCGTGTGTACTTGCTGATGGGAGTGGAAATCTGTAAGCATGTCTTTCCTGCTCATCTCTGCTAGACAGCAACCTTTCTTACTGGAAAGGGACAAACAGGGAAGATGTTCTTCCAGCTAGTGCAGAAGTTGAGTTGTTGTCCAGCTTGCACTGTCCTGACAAGAGAAGCTGTGTTTGGGCTCCCTGGCCCATCTTTCAAGGAAGGACAGGGCTGGGCAGGGACAGCCAGTCTCCCTGGAGAGGCTTTGCATCCCACCATGGGAGGCATTTTGTTGCAGGCATATGCTGGGAGAGACTAAGCCTGTTCTGTTGAAGTGAGGCACACAGGACCCTCCTCACTGCCCTCCCTGACATTTCCACCACAGCGCTGTTAAACAGACAGTACCCAAACATCCCAAGTATCTTCAGCCGCGGTTACTAAAAGGTAACTATTTTACAGGGAAAAGTCCTTCTGGAAAATGATGTCTCAGGAGCTCTTTGCATCTCACAAGCCTGGCCCGGTATGGCACGAACCATTTACAATGACCACAAGAGATTTCTGAAAACTTACCTGACTTCTTATCCAGGTAAGGAAAACATGTGGCAAGACACTTGCACATGTTTGGTTGGGTATGGTTGGGTCCACTTGCTGGCATTCTGTATGGGGCAGGATTCAGGAGAGCTGGTACTGCTCCTTTGTTCTTCCAGAGACCCTCCACAGTCCTGAAGCCTTTCATCTCCCCAGGTCGGATATCACAGGACTGCCCCTCACCAACCTTCCCAACTGGATCACACTTTGTTTTAAGGCAGTGGATTTGTTCTTCTGCCCCCAGTCCCCTTGAGCACAGACCTCTTGCTACATCTCTTGCAAACCTTGTCAGCCTCTGTGACTCACCCAGAGCACTGAGCAAGCCCAAGTGTGTCTGTCTTGATGTAATGCGAAAAGAAGCAGCAAGATGACAGGCACGTGCACTGGCGCCAAGTGCCCCCAGCACATGGTGATGAGACAGGCACAGCATTAGCCAGTACACTGCAGAGTGAGGATAGGAGCCTGATGATAGAGCAGGTACCAACATAGGCAAAAGACTAACAAGGAAGGTAGACACATTTACCCTGAGCAGTTGAGGAAGTGACCTGAAGCCAGCAGAGAGGAGGATGGGAAATGTGAGAGTATGGCTGCTGAGCAGCTCACATGCTCCCCCCAACAAGTGACTGTGGCATGGTTCTGGCTACTGCAGGATTTTTCTTCACTGGGGATGGTGCGTATCGTACCAGTGAGGGCTACTACCAGCTAACAGGACGGCTGGATGACATCATTAGCATCAGTGGACACCGGCTGGGCACTGCAGAGGTGGAGAATGTTGTGGTAAGAGATGTGGGTGGGAGGTAAAATAATCCAAACTAAAGCAGTCAGGGGCAGGAGGAAAAGAGCAGTGCTTGCAGACCTACTGAGGCAGGAAGGAAAAAGGGCAAGGCCATCTGAGGTCCTTCCTTAACTACCTGCATTATTGTGGGCTGCAGCTGTCAAGTCAGGTCAGGGCAGCTCCAGGGAGCAGCCAGCCTGCCAAAAACACCGAGTCAAACCCCTTCCCTGTTCTCTTCCAGAATCACCACGTGGCAGTGGCAGAGTCTGCTGTCATTGGCTACCCACACGAGATCAAGGGAGAAGGTAAGATGCTTTCTTTCCTGCTCCAAAACATCTCCTGGGGCTGTGGCACTGCAGTGGGAAGTGGGACTGGTAGCAGTGCTGTGTCCACACCACACAGCATGTTAATGGGGATCTCAGCACATCCATCACAACCTGCCCACCAACCAGCTCTAAGATGGCAGCAGCATAGGGTGGCAGCAGCAGTGCTTCTGTGTGGCCAAAAGCACGCAGTTTTGGCTACAGAGAATCCCCTGAGGCTACCAGCAGAGAGGGGCTCTCCTGGCACTAGGTCCAGGCAGGTCTCAGGGGCATGGTATGCACTGTGCTCAGTAACCTGGCGGTCCTTCTGCCAGGAGCCTATGTGTTTGTTGTGCTGAAGAAGAAGGACAGTGGCTACACACAAGAGACTCTTGCTGCTGAGCTACAGGAGCTCATCTCAAAGAAGACTGCTAAGTATGCAGCTCCAGATTATGTTCAGGTAACACAAGCAAACTGGTCCAACACCCACACTGGCAGATTGGCCAAGCCCTTTCTCTCAGCCTTGACTCTGCTCCTCCCCTTCATAGGTCACACACCAGCTGCCCAAGACACGCTCGGGTAAGATAATGCGTCGGGTGCTACGGAAGATTGTGGAGGACAAGGCCAGTGAGCTTGGGGACCTAACCACCCTGGATGACCATGAGGCTGTGCAGCAGATCATAGAGGGACACAAGCACCTTGTGGAGCGGCAGAAGGGCCACTAGCTTGGCTCTGCCAGTAGCCACCTCCTCCTCCTTCACTGCAGGAAACCCAGGAAAATATCCAGAAAAACCACTAAGCAAGTGGTGCCCAGTAAGTTCTCAGATCACACCTCCACTGCTGTCTTGAAGTGACCTCTCCACAACACAGGAGACCCTCAAAACCTGTCTCCATACACCCATGTGGACAGAGAGAGAACATGACTCATCATAGGCAAAAAAGTAAGGGGAGATAGGCTGTTTCATTCCATGAAAGCAGAGGGCAGAAATCCCTCCTTGAGGTTCCTTGTGCCTTGCAGTAGCTGCAGAGGTAGCAGCAGGCAAGATGTCCAGTCCTGGATAGGGATACTACTCCTACCTCTGCTTTGCTCTATTGCAATAGTCTTGTACAGGACCATTGCCAATATACAAGCATCTCCTCCAAAGCAAAGCCCAGAAAGAAAACATGCAACAGTCCTGTTAACAAATATTGACTCTTCTCCATAAAACCAGTTTGAAAACAGGCCCCACATTTTAATACAAAAATGTTCTTTTCACCTGTAGCTGTGTGTTGTAAAGAGAGCAGAGACATGCCCTGTGCTAGCATTCTCCTCCCCTTGTCTCCTGCTGGAAAACACAATTCTGAACAGAGCCAAAAGGCACATAAATCTATTCTGCAGAGTTGTGTATCAAAGACAGAGCTCCTCGCAAGGCACAGAGGGCAGAAAAGGAGGCTGCATTGTAGCCTCACACCAATGTATTCCAGACAAAGTGGAGGTTTCTCTGGCTGTTGTTTCTACAAGACCCATGAGGCAGCATCTTCTCTCAGGGCGGCCTAGGAGCTCAGCTCCTTTCTCTTGTGAGAGCCAGGGAGGCAGAAGGAGGATGGGAGAAGGGTGGCATAGCTGTGTCTACTCTTGGCAGAATTCCACACCATGAGTTCAGACACACTCTGTGTCCATCAGCAAAATCCAGAACTGGTCTTGCACTGCTTGACACACCTGCTGGCTTGGCAGCTCCATGTCTGCTATTGAGAGCTCTTCCACACATGTGCAGGTTCTGTGGCTGGCCAGAGAAGGGCATGTTCTTCAGTATTCTTCCTCAGAGGGGAGCCGCTTCATCTTCTCACATCTAGTGAGCTCCCATCTTCCCTCCCCATGAAGTTTCAAAATCCAGCTGTGGAACTGCAATTCAATAGCACATTGAGGGATGTCTCTACAAGGGCACAGTCCACCCACAGTGAGGTCCTCCAGCCTCAGTCACTCCCCTCTGCTTGCCAGAGACCCTCTCTACCTCACCACTGCAAGGGAGGCATGAAGCGCTGCCTCCCTGTCTCACCTTTTCCAGGCTGGGTCTGTGTCCCACACTGATCAGTGTCATGCCCAGCTGAAGGCACATACGGTACAGTTCATGCTCCACCTCTTCTGTCAAGGCGCTGGTGGCTTCATCTAACACTGAAAAAAAAGCTATAAGCCCCACAAATCCTCTCCCAACCACACATCTCCTGTAGGCAAGGAGAGCAACTCGCAAGAACATTTCACATAATAACTGGAGCTCACCAAGAGCATCTGCAGAAAGCAAGTGAGGAAAAACCTAAGAACTCTGGTATTCTTCTGGCACAGCTGGTGACAGGCAACTAGGAAAGCTGTCTTTCCCCTCAAGTACTTGAATCCATCCAAACCACACTGTTCACTTCATTCCTCTCCCTCAACAGCTATCCACCACTGCCTCATCCCCATCATAGCAAAAGCCAAGACATGGCCTTCTCCAGGCAGACCACGTGCCAGAGTGCCAGGCCAAACAGCAGTCAGTGTACTCATCCAGCACAGACCCTACATGGAGTATGTAGGATGGCCTGTGGCACCTTCCTGACTATTAAGGGTAAATACTACATACCTGGAGCAAATAAATTCAAATCATCTCTACAGCTTTTAGTTTGCAATCCACAGGTTCCTTCTGCCCAGACATCACTTAGCTGTGCCCCAGGCCTCAGGGGAAAGAGAGGTACTTACATGTAGCTACCTGCTACTGAAACTGGCTCTGCTCACCCACATCCAACCTGGCCCTCATGGCAAGTCCTCCAACAGCTCAAGCCCCCAGCAGAGCCTAAGGAATTGATCCCATTAGCTAATCACAGATGTTCTGTGGTCCCTCAGGACTGTTTCTCCCTCTGCTCCTTGTCTTCTTTTGCCACATCAGGGCTAAACCTTCCATACTGCCCCACAACCGTACAGATGCTCGAGAGCTTCAGATATGACAGCTGCTGCCATATTCCCCAACACATGCAATTCTTTGCACAGCAACTGGTGAGCAGGCTGACAAAGTTCTTCTGGTGCCACTGGACATGGACCATGAACATTAATCACCAGTTCCCCAAGAAGAATATGTCTTATGTACAGCCTCTTGATTTACCACCGTCCACACAAATAATGAAACGTTTTCACATTTCACAAATGGATCCTCTGTGTGCTATGCTGTGAAAATAATGACCAAGACAAAGCATGCTCCTAGCACAAGCTGTCTCTGTACCAGCTTTGCTGTATAACAAAGGCCTTGTCTTTTTTTCTCCCCTCTTTGTAGTCAGTCACTCACCTGCATATTTTGGCTGGAGGTAGAAGAGCCGTGCAAATGAGAGCCTCTGCATCTCCCCTGGGGACAGGATGTCATACCTGCAGCAGGGTCGAGATTCAACACCTTCCTCAAGAAACAGAGCTTGTTTGCTGAAAATCTTACGGCTTCTGATATTGGAGACCAGCAAACAACTGTCCCTGTGTGTCCCTTGTGCTCCCTTCCATACTGCAACTGGCTCTGCACCCCTGTACACAGTCAGCTGTCTGCAGAACACCACAGCTCGTGACTGTTGGCACAGATGCTTGGGCCATGAAGGCTTTGCTCCTGTGTAGTGTCCACATCTCACAGAACACAGATGGGCACAGATAAATCCAGCAGCAATGTGCATCTGCTTAGAAGTGTTCCCCACTCAGAAATCACCCAAACACATACAGACAGTGAGCTCCCTTACCAGTTCCAGTCCACCTGTTCATCCAGTCCTCCAGCCCTTGCCAGCAAATCAGTCTACAGAGAGCACAGCAGACTTGTGAACACAGTCCTGAACCCTGTCAGCCTATGGCCCTGGGCATAACCACACGCTTTTTACCAGTCTCCCTTTCCCCACTTGAGCTGAAGTTGTACCACATTTCTCCTCTTTCTGTCCCAGACAGTTGTGTCCCAGGCACAGACAATGTCCCCACATAAGTTCAGCACATAATCATGCTGTGCTGCCACAAAAAATCATCCCTCCTTCCCTCACTGGTGGCACCAGCAAAGAAGGCAGTAGTGCTATCAGTGACTCACCAGCCCAGCCAGCTCCAGGAATCGCACAATCCTCTCATCATCTGCAGACCCTAGGGAGAAAGCCATACAGCATGAGGAGAGGCAGTGTGTGCTAAGGCCACTGCTGAATGAAGGAGTTGGTGAGGCAGGAGGGAAGAAGTGGAGTACCTCCTGAGGCTCAATGTAGTTGACCTGACCACTTAGTTATACCAGACCCTGAGCTTTGGCAGAGATAGCCCCAAAGACTGACCTTCCTTGCAAGTGTTAACCATGCCTGTGAGCAGCATACCAGGAGGTAGCTGGGCTCCACAAATACACCTGAGATTTGCCTCAGTTCACAGCCACAGCCAGAATACAAGGATCCAGGCTTCAACTGCCAAGACCCTGCCCAACAGTTGCTGTCTTAGAGCTGAGACTGCACACTACAAGTAGTGGAGTCATGGGAATGGGGGTCAGGTAGGAGTTAGAAAAAGGACCCTATGTGGAAGAGAAATACCTCAGGGTGAGTCAGCTGTGGAGCAGAACACACACTTAAGCTGGTACAGTTAGCATCTGTGGAAGTTGAGAGGAAGTGCTGTGCATCTGCCATGGACCTCTCTGAAGCTGCTGGAGAGCCACAACAGTAGCTGAGGGCTGTAGTTACTCTCAGCAAGATTGTGACTCCCAAGCTACAGCAGAGCACATGTGGTCTGGCTTTGGAAGAGGGTAGGGGAGAGAAAGGATCCATATATTCTGACCACAACAGTGTGCAAAGCCCTGGGACATCATTTTGAAAAAGTGGAAAAGTAAAAGATGGACCTGGATGGAAAATAAGAGTAAGGCAAACATGGCTTGCCAAAAGTCAGGCTGTACCAAAATCAGATGTATCCCAACACCAACATATAGCATGTCTAGCACAGCAGGAAGAGCATGGCCAACTTGTCCTCATTATACTAAGAGAGCAAGTTCTTATCAACTGAGTATGCTCCCTCACAAAAGGTGGAGGACACAGAATTGACCTTAACACACACAAATCTTCTAGGGAACACCAGAACAACAAAAGCAAAATGGATGAGTGTTCCTGATAGGTTACATCAGGGAAGAAGCTGCACTGGGTACAGGACAGTGAGGCAATACCACAGCGTTGGTTAATTGCTCTAATGAATTTTCACAAACCTGAAAGTGGATAGATCTCCTTCAGGGGATAGATCACCTGTTTAACAGAGCAAAAGAAACCATGTCAGAGGGAGCTGGACTCTGTCCATCAGAGATGCAACAACATGAACTCAGGCACAAGGGAAGGAGCAGCCACAGGTATCACCCTCTTGCAGGGTTTGCAGGGCATGACCACAGCTGGGAGGCCACAGCAAAGACAGACCCTGGGCTCACCTGCTCACGCAGGCTTCCATCAGTGAAGAAGGGCCTCTGTGGTAGGAACACCACTCCTCGGGGGCCAAAGCAGGTCAGCATCCTGATGCTCCCTGCACAGAGACACTCATCACATCGGCAGTATCAGGCAGGAACTTCCCACTGCCCCATGTAGTCCTGTCCCATGAAGTAACCAACAAGTCTCCACAAAAGTGTGTTTGCAACACAGGGCAAAGCAATGAGAGCCAAAGACTGTGACAAGAGATGGGTGGCTCAAATCAGTGTATCAGTGACACATTCACCATCACGTGGTGATACTGGCCTCACAAACTGCCACACTGCCACCTTGAAAAGGCAGGGTAGCCTTGGTTGAGAAGAAGAAGGCTGAGGCAAGTAGCAGTCCTCACCCCGTGTGCTCTCCCAGAGTCCTCCGAGGACCCTCAGGAGAGATGTCTTCCCTGTACCAGTGTTTCCCACAATCATCACACTGTTTCCTTGTGAGATATTGAGGCTCAAGTCCTTGATGAGCAGCTTGCCAGAGGATGGTACTGAGAGTGTCACTCGCTCCAGAAGGAAAGCTGTGTCCCTTGGCACTGGGTCCTCCCCAGAATGGCTGCTGGGCCACCACCAAAACAAAGAACAAGAGATCTGGGGGTAAGTGCTGAGATTGGCAAAAATCAGACACCTTAGACCTCCTGTGCCTCTGTGACAGTAGCCCTGCCCCACACACCCTGGGAATGACAATTGACAGTGAGCACTGCCTGCTCCAACCAAATGCGTGCAACAGACTGTGACACCAAGGGCCACCTCCCTCCCATGGCAACCCCACACTCTGGCACGTAAGCTGCAAGCCAGCCAGTTGCTGAGAGGCAACTCACCTGTCCAAATCCCAACTGGTTTTGGCTTCTGAGTAGTTATCATTTTTTTTGTTGCCAAGGCTCAGCAAGGTCTCCTGCAGTTCACCAATCCTAGACACACAAGAGGTTGCATGAAAGCCAGGGACAACTTCATCAGCCTCCTCACAATATCCAAACTTGCCCATGCTTGCACACGAGCAACAGGTTGGGTTTTTTTTTTTTTTTTTTTTTTTTTTTGGGGTTGTTTTTTTTTTTTTTTTTTTTTTTTTTTTTTTTTTTTTGGTTTTTTTTTTTGGTTTGGTTTGGTTTTTTTAGCACAGACCTGGGCAGAATCTTGTTCTGCACTGCCCTTTCCTCCAGAGATGTGCCCACAGATAAGCTCACCTGTGTGTGTAGCCAGCTACATCAGTCACAGTGCTGGAGAGATCTATGAGCTGGCTGAAGCAGCCAATGAGGTAGATGGAAACAAAGGCATTCTGGGGAGAAATCACATGGCAGAGTAAGGGTCAGTGCTCAGCTGGGGCCCTGACCCTTATTCCATGACTGCAAGGAGGCAGCCAAGGAATCCACACATTTGGCCACATCAGCTGTCTCAGCAAGATGAATGAGGAGTGGTGAAGTCACCCAGGATGGTGGGAGTGAAGATGACCACATCTGAAAGAAGCAGGGCTTCCCTGCTCAGTGCAGCAGTTTTTGCCAGGTAGACACATGTCCTGTCACCCAGGGATGGTGTCTGCAGAGTGCCTGATGGCCTGCCTAGGGCCCAGCATGCTTGCCCAAGTCACACAGATCCATACCACCACCCCTGCCTCAGCACCGTATATGGCTCAGAGCAGGGTGTCTCAGCCTGCAGTGCCCACTTAGCTATTTTTAGCTCTGCATTCTCTATGACAAACCAGTTTTGAGTATCTGTAATGAGTCAGGTCAGGAAAGTGAATGCAAGCCAGCTCAGCCTGAGGTGGCAAGGCTCACCACAGGCAGTAGCCCAGGGCACAACCCAGACCCACAGCACTGCACAGACCCCATCTCCACCTGCACTGCTGAAAACCAGAGGCTTTCTGACCTCCTGGGATTTTTAAGACACAAAGGTCTGAGCCAGGAAACACTTACCTAAACGTGTCCTTGACAGTTCTCACACCCAGGTTAATCACATACCAGCTGGCTACAAGCTCCTGTTTCCATGTGACTTGGGACAGTCTAACCTGAACATCAAGTGCTGCAGGTTATCTAGCCCCAGAGTCACCAGCACCACATGAAACCTCCATCCTCAGTGCCTGCTCACCCTCTACAATGGGGTCACAGATTACCCTTAGCTCACCTTGCTGACAAGGGCACTGAGCTCTGTTGGATTCAGGTCGCCGTAGACCCCAGAAAAGATGGGAATGGCAATGACCACGTAGCTCAGGATGCTGCCCAGATAATCAAAGGTGTTGATCCCAACTGGGCACAAGCACATTGAAAGAAGACAGTGAGTTAAAATAGAAACCTCTGTCCCAGCCAGGTCCAAGTGCTGACCCTGAGCCCAGTCAGAGGAAGAGCTGTGTTCTTGCCTCAGCCCTTTATAATGAACCAAAGCAGAAAAACCCATTTTGCAGGATAGCAAAAGCACCAGGGTGAAAAAGCATTTGCCAAGCAAAGAGCACTTTGGGGCAGGCCCCTGAGCAGAGAATTATCATCCAGACACACAGCTCAGGGACTACTGTGGGGCAAAAGCCACTTTGCCTGCTTGCTGCTATGCTTCAGGGGCCTGACTGATTCACAGCAAACAGAAGGGAAGGGCAAAAAGGAAGCTCTGGGGTGAGATAGTTTGTCATGAAGTGTGTCTTGGGAGCACACAGGCAAAAAGACTTAAGATTCAAATTCCCACAGACACTTCTGTTCAGGGTTCTCCCTCCATTACACTGCTCAGAAGCTCACTGTGCTGCTGAGATCAGGAAGAGCTGTCTTTATAGTGGTCATTTAAAGAAAAACCTGGACTCAGTGAAAATGGGAGAAGGAATATTTTCAGGGGACAGCTATGCTTAAGGGACAGGCTCTATGGGAAAGAAGTTTCCATAGCTCCCAACAACATATACAGTCCCCAGAGCTCAAGCCCTTCCCTCTTTTCTTGGTGTGTGAACACCTGCACCACAAAAAGCCAGATTCTGGGCCCTTTACAACTTTGCCTCTTTATGAGGCTTTTATACAACAGGATTCCTATTTAGCACTGCAGGACGCACCCTCTGTTCACCCTCAGTGCTTTCACACACCAGCAAGAGGCAGAAGAAGAAAACACAGCACCCACCCAACTGCTCTACCCAGTGGAGTTTCCCAGCGTATCGGCCGCTAGAATGGAGTTACCACACATCCCACTTCACCCCCCAGTCTGCCCACTCACTGTACAGCCACAGCTCTTTGCCTATCAGCTCTCTCTGGGTCTTCAGCAGGCTCTGCAGCCTCCGGTTTGTGCGCATGTGCTCCACTCGCCCAGCCCTGTAAAAGTAAGATTGCAACATGCCACAGACATCCTAGGACCATGGGCTTTAAAACTGAAGCTTTGAATGGACCTGGCATCCTTACCTCTGACTAACAAGCTCTTTATTGACCAGGAACTGAACAGCCAGGACTGCCTTCCTGAAGGGTATTGTCAAGGAACTCTGGCTGAAGCAAGCAGTCCTACAAATCTCTGAGAGCCCATGGCTGCTGCTGCTGTTGCAGCAGGAGGAGGTAAAGCCAGGCCAGACACTGTCAGCGAGGCTCCAGGCTGAAGCCATGTACACCCAACGTCAAACACAGTTCCCAAATACAGCCTGGTTGGAAGAGAGGGATGGCACTGCTACACAGCTGGATCCAGAAAGGAGAGGGTAAAGGAGAGTCCAGGGGGTGATAATCAGCCTGCATGGCCAGCAGCCTTAGCCTACCTCTTCCCATTTCCCACTCCACAGGAATGGGACGAAAGCAAGTCCTGAACCCCCGGTAAGGTACCCCAGCTTCACAACTTCCCCCTTCCCAGGGCTACCTCCATCAGGTCACCCACCACACAGGTTAGTGGTGATGCTCCAGTGGCCAGGCTGAGCCAGGAGCAAGGAGACATCTCCTAAACCATCACCTTCAAGCAAGCGTGACAGCTCCTTCTGCTGCTCTGCAAGGCCTGGGCTGCCCTCAGGTGGCAAAATGCAGAGAGAGCTCCACATCTCATTTCAGTCTCCCACCTGCCATAGCACTTATTGCCCCTGACATCCAACAGAGGCTTGTGCCCACTACACAAACCATGCTCCCACCACAATCCCACCACAACAGGGGACTCACTAGGGCCCAAGAAGATAAGGCCAGAAGCAGCACAAAAACATCCAAAATAAGATTTTTGAGGTCTCATTTCTAAAGATTCTCAGTTCATAGAAATATATATTTTCTTTCTCAAAAATGCACCTGGTTAGAATTCAGTTTGGCTTTACTGCCTTATAACACATCTCAGGTAACTACTGAGCTGCAGTCTTTGCTTTCCATGTATTAGGAAAGGAGAAAGGCCTGGACACAAGGAATTAAAGGTAAGAAAGGAACCGGGGACCTTTGTTCTAGAGCTATTACTCTGTTGCAGATGAGGAGAGATTGTTGTATTGGTTTCCTCTTTTCCTCCCATTCACTTAACTTTTAAAGCAAGTTTGCCAAGGACTTAGTAACAAAAGAAGTAAAAAGGTGGCAGTGCTCTGCTTCTGTTGCTTCCTTTACCAAAGCAATGTTTAGTCAGTCTTAAGAGGACAAGATCACAAGCTAGAGAAGTTGAGCAATCAAAACCAGCCACTCACCATATGCTCCTCCTCTTGCAGGATTCTAGGAATGCACCTTTTAAAAAATTCCTTCGTTTTTAATTATGATGTATACCATGAAAATGCCTGGTTGTGTGCAAATCAGCTAAGTTCTAGTTTCACACAAAATGAAGCTTTTCTACTAAAACATTGTACTGAACCAAAACACTCTGTTTTCTGGTATAATAATCCACTTTCCATTTTCTACTTAGTAATAGAATTTAAAAAAAAAAATCAAAATTGTGAGGGAAAGTATTGCATCTTAAATAAGGGCATGTAATTACAGCATCTTCTCCATTACAAAAAATTATCATCAATCAGTAAGAATCAATCAGAGTACAAGGAAATAACTCAGACTTGCCAGTGCAAACCAATATTGATTTTGGTTATTTAAATGAGTTTCATGCCTGTCAATATAAGTTATGAAATCAGTGATTTTGAATCAAACCATTGTAGGGACTGCACCACAACACTTGAAATGCTCGCTCAATATAGCATGAAGGAGCCAAATATAGATCATGAGCAGGGAAGACCACAGAGAGGACATGTACTACAATTCCTGAAAGTGCAATTTTGCAACATACAGAGCAAAGGCAGACTTGTGACAAGAGAGAAGCAGCAACCTCCTGCCACCCCAACACAAGCTACACCAAATTCATGCCTCTTTTCCTGGTGAACCAAGCAGCAGCTCAACAGGTTTCAGGGCATCACTAAATGGGGGAGGTGCTGCTGGGCTCCCGATTGTGCGCTCAGCTCTCGGGTGAATGGTGTTCAGCAAATTCAGAGACCAGTACAGCATGTGGAGGATCAGGGCACAGGCTGACCAAGAGCAGCAAAGCAGAGGTAAGATGGCCAAGTAGCAGCTAGCACACCCACAGAAGACATGCAGGCAAGCAGCAGCAGGATGGGGCCAGAAGCAACATGTGAGTCCTCAACAGAACCAGATGCAATAAGACTTTGAGCAATCTTCCGGGTAAGGACCTAGCAAAACATCAGTAAGGGTCTCTAAGCCAGCACCAAATCTGTATCTGCCTCTGAGGATGTTAGAAGGGAGGCAAAGGAAAGATCGTTGTCTCCAGCTGCTGTGGATTATTTCTGCAGATGATGCACAGAATGCAAAGAACTGAGTGTCAGAGCTGAATGATGCTGCAGTGGAAGGGATAGAAAGCTGCAGCAACAGAACTTAGGCTCCTTTGGGATATGTGAACAAGGATGCTCTGAACTGGGACAATCCTTATGAGGATACAAAGAAATTAACACTACTAACCTGTAGAAAGCAGCTGGTTCTGCATTGACACGAATCTGCATGTGCTTGAACCTGTACAAGCAAAAAAAAAAAAAAAAAATATTGTGCGCAAATGCTCAGTGAATTATGTAGCCAAAACCATTCCTAGAGGAAACTTATCTTGCATGTTAGAGCAGTGATCTGAGGCATCTCTTGGCAGAAATATTCAACAGGCTCAGAAAGGCACCAGAGACCAAGGCTTAACACAAGGTGCCATCTTTCACAGCCAGTTCAGTGGTACATTTTTTTTGATATTGTGCTCTCTGTGCACATCTTCTTAGCCCTTGGGCTTACTCTTTGCTGCTAGACCAGCATCTCCACCACACAAAATCACCAAAGCCAACTGCCCTGGGCTGGGTTCCCTGTGCCACAACAGCTTATGCTGCTGTCCCTGGATGCCTTGAGCCCCAGGGAAAGCTACAAAGCCTCTGCTACACACACAGCCAACCCTGCAAGCAAGGGGGAGGAGGTGAGTTACAGAGGATATGGAAAGACTGGGCTGTGAGACTGAACCAAGGGCATTGCCTGCCATGACACAAGGCTGTGAATGGTTGGCAGGGGCTCAGTACACTGACTCTGAGGCACCATTGCAGAGGTAGACTTCTCTGAGTGTGAGGAAGGTCACAGACAAGAGAATTAGCTACATATACAGCCCTGAATGGGGACAAAAAAGCAGCTTTCACAGAAGCTGCCAAGGGGCAGTGAAAACATATCTCTGCTGGGACTCACCTGAAATCTCCCTCCAGTTTTTCCTGCTGCACAAGTTTAGACACAATTGGGCTCATCAACACTTTGTTAATCATCGTCCCAATGACGAAATACCCAAAGATGCTCACCGGGCCCAGCCAACCTGTGCTACAGAGGAGAAAGAGAACTCAGCCAATAATCCAAGCAAAAGGACACTCCTGCACCATTAGGCTCAAGCAATCAGAGCCCTCAGCTGTCACCTCTCTTGGCTTTCACAGAAGTTTGGGGGCCAACATTGCACATCCCAGCATCCCCAAGGCAGAGTTCTCCTTGGAGTATAGAGATCACTCACCCATGTGTACAAATATCCATCTGGGGAGTTGTAATGTGGGTGGCAGGGTCCAAAAAAAGAACACAGAAAAGAGGCGTGCAAGCAGGGCCAGGATACATTGTTACCTGTGAAAGCACTGGTATGTGTAGTAGGCCAGTGTGAAGGGTGAGATGACGAGCTTGCTGGCCATGGAGCTGAGCTGCCTGCAGAACCTCTCCACGTCCTGGCTGATGCGCTGGTCCCTGCTCAACACGAAGAGCCATTGACACCATTAGAGCCCAGAAGCAAGAGCCAGTACTAAATCCCTAACAGGGCACAAACCAGCCTGTTTCAGTGCATGAACACAGGACAGGCAGCAGGTGAACAAGCTTACCTGGGAAGGATCTGCAGATTCCCCACAGGAGACCATTTTCATGGCCCAGCAGGACCCACCCAAGGGCCTTCATGGCACCCAGGAAGAACAACTCTTGCCATTGGTTTCAACCTGTTCCTTGTATTTATCCCCTTGTTCCACTTTCAACAACATTGTTCAAAACTTGTGCTGAAGGTCTCTGCATCATTGTCCTTTACTCCTCTCCTGGAACAACCTCTGTACTATGAAAAACTACTGACTCTCTCCCTAACCTTCAGTACTGGACTGAGATGCCATCAGACCCACCAGGACAGGCCAGAGCACAAGACAAACCTTCACCAGCTACTGGATATTTGCAAACACTTCCATCAAAGCTACCCTCTCACAAGAGCCAATCCCTTGGCTCTGCATGGAGTGCCTCTGGTTCCTTTGCTGCCAAGAAGGAAGTGCTTCCACCCACCCCAGCCCACAAGAGCAGGAAGCAGCACACCAGGCCTTCTCACCTCACCAGCAGCAGCCACATGGGTGACAAACCCTCAAGTCCCATCTATCCCACTACTGAGCAGGAGTTGCACTTGGGATAACTAGGAAGAATTTCAGTATATTTACTTCTCAGCACCTCACCTGTCCAGAGCACATGGATGAAGGCTTCAGCCTACTGTGCTAAGCTCCAGTGGAAAGGCTGTAACTTAATGCTTGAGTTCAGAATGAGGAGCAAGGATGGACTCCTGGATAGTCTCAGTGCAGATACTAGCACAAAGGCATTCATCTTTTAACACTTTTGCAGCTCTGGAAGAGCAATGGATTTAATTCTGGGGCAGCTCTCACCCTGACTGACCTTGCAGCATCATTTTTCCTTCTCCTCACACTGTAATATTTCCCACAAAATTGTAACCTAAATTGTGCTATAGTCTCACAGGAGGATATTGCTTTTTACAAGCTATTAAATAACATGTAATGAAAATACATGAAACACATGAAAGCATCAATTCAAATGCCCTACTAGGTGGTGCAAGTGCTTGTATGCCACTCAGAACCCACTCTTCATTCCTTTGAAGTGGAATGAACACTCAGTTTGGTTTGCACTGCATAATGGGAGATCTCTGTTGCTCTACTTTGTTCTCTAAGTACCTGGTGCAGGGAAAAAACTCTCATCAAAGAACTGCAAGATGAAGAGAACTTTTGCAGTGGCACCAAAACCACACTTGTTTAGTAAGACTGAATGTTGGAGCAGAAGCAAGGTGTAATGAGACATACTCCACAGTAATCCCACACATTTGGTCTGCAAAGGCCATGAGAGTCTCTTGCTGCAGGGCAGACTGACCCAGTTGTCTCCTACATTTCACTGCACAATGTGAACATGTTCCCTAGTTAAAAATAAACCTCAGCAGAATAATCATGTGGTGAGGGGCCTCTGTCCTCCACCTCCCCTCATGTCCCCAAAGAAAAAGACCGGCATGCAGGAGCTTCTGGCTTCAATGTGCTGCACTGTCTAGCAAGTGCTGCATGCCCTGATGACAAACATGGGTTTTTAACCTCTCCTTGTAACTCCATGCCACGGAAAATACTATCAGAAATGAACATTTAATGATATTGGGAGTAAACCAACAGCAGCCTGGAAGTGCATCAGCTTGATAATGATGCCTACTGCCCAACATGCAGAGCTGTTTGACCCAAGCTTGCTGCTCCCCCTTAGATACCCAGCATGTTTTCTTGCAGCAGCCACACAAACCACCCTCCTCTGCAATGAAGGAGCAAGGACAAGCAGCCAGTAGCAACAGGCAGCAGAACTGCAGAAGCTGCTTCAGTTTCTTGAAGTTTCCACTATTAGCAAGAATTAGGAGTCCCTGCAAGACAGCAATTTTTCCTCAGGACCCTGGGCATGCTCTCCTCTCTTTCCATCAACATGGGAAATGGCACTAATGCAGTGACTAGATCAGAGGTGCCCACTCCAGCTTGGAGTCTCAAAACAATGGTATAACAACACATTATTTGGAAAAAATTCCCCTTTGATTTCTAGTTTTTCAGCTAGTATTTAATAATAACAACTTTAAATTCTGGAGGGGGAAGAATTAGGGAGATTCTACACTGAGATCAGCTCAGCTGGTTAAGCATGGTAGTAATAATGCCAGGGGTTCAATCCCTGTGTGGGCTATTCACTTCAAGAGTTGGACTCAATGATCCATGTGGGTCCACCCCAACTAAGAGTATTTTGTGATTCTGTGACCTCTCACATGATGTCTAACATAGGATTTTTAGCTCTTCACAGTGTGCAACTATGACAGCAGTGCCCTGTGCGTGAGGACAGGCTGGAAGGCCAAGGTCCACACACAGCTCTGAGGAAGGGCATTCAACCTTTGCTGTGCAGCCCAGGTAGATCAACAGCTCTGCAGAAAGCAGGACAGTGCACAAAGCAAACTGGAGAGGGGCCTCTTGGCGGTGGGTCTGGGATCCACAAGGAGAGACTGAAAGCTCCTCCTCTTATATTTCAAGTCACCACTGACACTTCCTTCCTAGGAACAGGAAAGGGAAATGTAGCCCTCATACAGTGCAAAACAAAGCCCTTCCTGGATTTGGCTCCCATGGGTTATCAAACCACTAAAATACAACTGAACTGTGCTCAGCTGCAGATCCTGGTGTTTGAAGTTCAAACAACAGAGACTGTCCTAATGCACCAGCTGTGTGAAGGAGAGGCACTGCTGACTGCAGCCAGGCCCTTTGCAACATCACACAGTGTCAAGGGTTGAGTTTGCAGACCAGAGGTTTTATAGCAGCACTAGATCCCTGTTCCAATGAGCATCCACTTTCCTTGCAACTGAAACATCCTGCCCCTAAAACCTGCCCACAACTGGCAGTCACAGGAGTTCCCAGCAATAGGTATCACCTCCCACCAGGGTAGAAGAGGGTGCCTAGATTTGTGCCTACATGGTAAAAGCTTCTAGGGCTCAAGCCCCTACCCAGAGACAAAGAGAAAAGGTGTGCAGCAGCCCAGGAGAAGCCAAGCAAGATACTGAAAGAAGCTGCCAGCAGCCTACGGGTTATCGACGTCCTCACGCAGCACGAGCAGGTTGTAGTAGACCTGGCCTTGGAAGTAGCAGCGGTGGAGGTATTCAGTGAGGGATTTCCTCCAGTTCACATACATCATGTTGCAGATAAACTGGTCGAAACTTTTTAGCTGGAACAAGGGCAAAGAGATGGATGGGGAGAGATAAGTGAGAACAAACATTTTTTCAAACTTAAATAAAAACTAGCAGTTTGTACTAGTGATCCAGGGCATGGGCAGACGTAAATCCTTTGTGGCCAGGATCATGCCATGGGCAGCTTTCTCTTCTCCCAAGACACATGAGCCTCTGGTCTTACCGTGGAGTTCACAATGATCAGAGTCACAGCAACGGCAGTCAATGTTTTGAATCCGGAGAAGTCCTTGTTCCCTAGCACCTCATAGTACTGGCTGGGGATGACGCCGACCTGGTAAATAACCAGCTGCTCTGGAGGAGAAAGGCAAGCAGGGGAAGGAATTGATGCGGTGACAAGGCAAAGTCGGGACCACAAGGAGCAGACGTGGGGTGCAGCCCCCCATCCCCACCACCCAGGCTCACCCAGCAAGGCGACACCGAGCAGCGTCAAGAACATGAGTGCGCTCGGGGAGGGCCACCCAGGAAAGAGCACGGCCAGGAGCCGTAGGAACCGCCGCAGGAACAGCCCGTCCAGCCGGGAACCAGCCCTGCAACGGAGGGACACGCGGGGGGTGGCAGTGAGCTCGGGGGTCTCACCCCACCTCGCCTCCGCCACGCCCCGGCCCAGCCCGGTCCGTCCTCACCGCCCGCCGGCCCCGGCGCCCCCCGCTCTGCGGCTGCCCCCCGCCATCGGCGCCCTCCGGACCCGAGCGGCCCGGCCCGGACGGTCCCGCCCCCGCGGGCGCTCCACATGAATATTCATCACCTCTCCTCGCCCGGCATCAGCCCCGCCCGGGGGCGACCGCCGCTGCCGCCGCTTCCGCGTGCGGCGTCACCACAGAGCTCGAGCCGCCAGCGCCGCCTCCCCCGCGGCCGAGCGGGAGCGCCCCCTGGCGACACGCCGCGCCGATCGCGGGCACGACGCCCCCTGGAGGCGCCGCGCGGCTGCGCGTGGTCAGCGCCCGCCCCGCCCGCGCCTCCCTCACAGCGGAGCCGGGCGGGCGATCCCGGCGCGGGGGGTGTGCTCGCGTCCCTCACCTCCTCCCCGCCGCCTGCTCACAGAGACGGACCGTGGTGCCGGGCAGGGTCCAGGGCCGAGCCACAGGCGGCAGGGCCAGAGATCCAGAGCACTAACGCCTCTCTTGAGGAAGGAGCCGGACAGGCACGAACTGATCCCTCTGGGGATCCCAGAGGCTGAGGGACAGTCGCCGTGGGCAGCAGGTATTGCCCGCCTGTTGCAGGGGAGACAAGAAAGAAGTACCGTACTAATTCTGCACATTCGTTTTATTTTGGGGTGGGCAGTGAAGTTTCAGGTTGCTTCCAAAGGACTCACAACTCGCAGTGGCCACTGCAGGGGATTTCCGAAGCCGGGACATTGGGATTAGGCACGATCCCCACCCAGCGTGACGATGAATGGCAGTGCGTGCCGCAGGAAGGGAACGAAGCAGTGCGAAACCCCCGGCAGAGGGACGGACTTCAAGAAAGCAGCAATGAGCTGTCAGTGAATGGACCCTCTCTGGCTTCTCAGTGACCCCAGTTTTAATACAGAAAACAACTAATTTATTTTTTTTCAGGTTTGGGTTGGAATCTGGTTTCATAACCCAAAATTCTGAGTTATGAAATATTTCAGAACAAGTACATTTCTGGACAAGCCTGGTGATTAGAAATGAGAGATCCTGTGAGCTGCCATGCCTTCCTTACTCGTGTGTCTCTACCTAACTTCCATTGATGCCATTTCTTCTGCAGAGCCTTTGGGCTTCTGCACGTATCCTGTGGGTCCCTCTTCCCATATGCCTAGTAGCTTTGTTCTTCTGCCAGTTCCCTGCCTCCCAGCCCTCCTTCTCTTCCTTCATCCTCATCTCCTTCATCTTTGCTCTGCTGCTACCTGCTCAGTGGTCCAGATAATTCATACTTCACACTTCACAAAATCGGTGAATATGCTCTCAGGGATGAAAGAAGACACATCAGTGTGTTTGTTCAGCAAATGGCCTTGTCTCTAAGCAGTGCCCCTTTCTCCTTGCCCTCATCTCCCTTCTCTCATCTCTTTTGGAATTCACAATGCTATCGGTCATACCTAAAGGTTAAGCTCCAGAGGGCAGAGATCAGCCCTGTGAAAACCTGACCTCAGTGATGACTAACTTTTATGTTAAAAGAATCATGGGGTTTTTTTTTCTCAGCTGTTGCATCAGACCTGGGTGACGTTTGCTCCTAGGCAGTCACATCCTCTCATGGGGCAGTACTGCAGCTGTGGCAGTTGTGTGGGTCACTGTTACCAGGATTGAACTGACTCCTTTGCTCTGCTGTCCACTTTGTGATGAGGGGGTATCCCTTCCCTTCCCTTCCCTTCCCTTCCCTTCCCTTCCCTTCCCTTCCCTTCCCTTCCCTTCCCTTCCCTTCCCTCCTCGACTGATGAAATGGCTTTCCAGCACCAGGGGAGTCAGAGGATCTAACACAGAGATGAGATGGCCACAACTGTCTGTCCCAAGCCCGCCCTCCTACTTCTTCCTTCTCCCTGCCCTTTGTTCTGTCACTGGCACCCCACGACCTCCACCTGATAAAGCACACGCTGTGAGCTCCCTTTGGCGTATCAGCTTCACGATTTTTCCTGGGAACCCTCCTAGAGGCAGCCAAGATCAAGAACAAAAGAGAAGTGCTTTCTCAGTGCCTCTCCATCCCCCCTCTGAGGCTGTGCCCTAGACACTCAGCTGCTGTCAGCACAGAAACATTTACATCTTTTACAGCACTCCAGCTCTACTTCTCACGTTTCTCCCCCAGCAAACACCATGGCCATTTCAGTGTGTGCCTGGGGGCAGGGCTTGGGAAAGGACTGGCAATCACAACTTGAGCAGAGTTTTATGGGTCTGTTTGCACTGAAGGGCCATATCTCAGCTCCCTGACTAGCTACAGACCCAAGAGAAACCCCCTCTGCACTGCTAACCTGTCACCAAAGTGTGTGCCATGAATCCAGGGAAGGGAGAGCTGGGCCTGGCTTGCTAGGTCCTGGGCTCCTTGAGGCAGTGCAAGTTAATTCCTTGTGGTGTTTAACCACAGCCCCATCTGCTCCTGCTTGCTAGGTGTGAAACATCCCATCCCCCAACCTCCCCTGCCTGTTCCATGCATTTTTGCCCTGCCCTGGACCAGTGAAGGAAGCCAGATCCTCTCGCATCCCTGGCCTCCCAGTCCCTGACTCACACTGTTCCCCACTGCCCCTCTATGTTTCCATTTCCCTGTGGTCCCTCTCTGCCTGCTGGCCCGAAGCTGGGATGCAGGGAGAAGCCTGACAAACCCATCTTTCGCTGCCTTTGTGTGGTAAGTGGTCCTGAGTGTCCTCTGAAGCAAGCAGCAGCTTCTGTCATCACAGAAAGAAACATAAAATATGCAGCCTTGATTCTGTAGTTTGCTTTCCCTCTTACCCAGGTCTTCCTTAGTGCTGCTGGCTTTGTGTGATGTTGCGTAATGAAGCTCTGCCAGAAGATTATCCCCTTCCTGGGCTTTCCAAAACTGAATCCACCATTTCCTGCCCATGTTTCCAATTTCTAGTCTCCTCATAGGTACCTGTCCTCACCAGAGCTTGCAGTTTCTCCAGTGTGAGGTCACCTACAAGCTTTAGCCCTCTGTCAGATCATTAGTAAGGCAGGGGTAATGAAAATCCCATCCTGAGTTTCAGCTCTGTCTGTATTAGGGTGTGAACTAAACCAGCTAATTTTCAGCTGGATCAGCAAGCTGAACTGACTGACGGAGTCCCTCACACTCCTGTGCCACCCCAAAGCAGAGGGTGGGAATGGGAAACCGAGGGGGAGCAAACAGCATAGGCCAGGCTCAGCACGGCTTAAACCTCCATGGAGCCGCACCACGGGCTCCTGCTGTGATATCTTAATGATTCTGCCTTTTCCTTCTCCACACTCTGTGTCTTAATTAGCCTTTCCCCCTCCTGTGGGCCAAACTGCTCTGCTTTCTTTTCAATCCTCCTTCCTTGTGCTTTGCCTCTAACAGTGTCTTTCTACTGTACACTTCAAAGGCTTTGCTTGGTGCATCTCCCCCATGCTGGCATTGGGTGGTAACACCCCCAAAGCAGGCCAGGTCTGCCATGAACTCATAGTCATTGAAACGGCTTTGGGCCCTTTGGATCTGGGTAAGAAGCAGGCATGGGGGAGGAGAGGTCAAGGATTTCCAGCATTTCACCTATAAGAAGAATTATTAGTAACACAGGAAAAAAAAAAGGGGGGGGGAGGGACCCCTCCTCCACCCACCCTCCCCAGAGGAGAGCCCACTGAGGGCAGAGTGCTTTTATGTGCAAGTGGGAGGGAAGGAGAGTGTTAGGGCTTCAGAGGGAAATGCTTTGATCTTGACTTTGAGTCTCCTTCAGTTCCCAGCTCTCCCCCACTCTCCCACCTATGGCCAGGACCACAGGATATAGCCAGGACTCCTAGTCCTTGCTCTGTGCTATGGTACTTCACTTGCTGTTTCACATTTAATTTCCTCCTGCACACCTAGGAGCCTCACAGAGGCCTCGTGGAGCAAGAGCACAGTGCCAACACCAAGTTCAAACTTTCCCCCCCATCTGACAGAATGGGAAGAGAAAAGGGAGCCCAGTTGGACAGAAGCCAGAAGGGAAAAGAGCCCCGAGATGAGCAGAGGTGAATTAGAGATGGGACCTGTTCTCAAGGCTGTGGCACCCCAGGCAGGGGGCAGGCAGACCTGGCTCTCCTGTGCGTCCTGGTGCATTAGGCTGGTCAGTGCCGAACACGACCCAGAAGATGAACTAGGAAGCAGTAACCATTAGAAGAGGGACAGAGAGTGGCTCTCAGAAGACAGCACTGATGTCCCACAAAGCGTTATTTTAAGTCGGAGAG